TAGAAAATATTCATTGCCAATTTGGACCTTTTTGCCCTTTTTCAATACTATGGTCTGCCAAAATCCTACAGAAATTTGTTAATCGATATATCGGAAATTAATGTGCAGCAGCCATATACGTAAGTAACTCGAAAATTTCTCTCCATTCAAAACTACACTAGACGACGAAAGAATTATCTTTCAGTTCTGAATGCAGCTAGAACAATAAGCATTTCCATTGAGGGATAAGATCGCGTTAATTTATCCGAAGGCGTAGACCGTAAATCTCGCGTTACTTGGGGACATCGAATTGGCAAGAAAAACCTCACTCAAGGACTTGATTCTGAGTGAATGTTGGAATTGCGAAAGAATATACAGACTGGTGCGTCAAGAACTACTGCCTCGTTAAAAAACTTCGGCTCCGAAGAAGAGTCCCTGTTACCTTTAGCGGAAAAAGTGAAACTTAACGGAACCTCCGAAAAGACGAAGTCAAGCATTGTTCCCTTTTTTTTTTTTTACCGCGGATGAAATAAATTTCCGAATTGTCGAGGATCGAAGAGAAAGTAATTGCCCTGCTCTAATTACATTTTGCGGACGTTGAAAAAGTCACGTACACTTCACGGCAGAGTTACGAATATTTGAAAATAGATTTTCGTAATGTCGACCCACCATGAGATATCAAAGAAAGTCGGAAATCGGGAGACATGGTTTTCAGCATCAAAAAAGGGTTTCCGGAATTTATTTTAGTGATAGCTTAATGTGTATACGTTACATCCTCTTTCACCGTGGGTTTTAAAAGTGTAACAACCGTTAATAAGAATGTATAACACAGTAATGTCCTGGTAACGTGCTACTGTTCGAGATTCTCATTCTCATGGGTATTTCAATATGTGGCACGTAGCAGTAAATGTATAATGTAACGCAATAAAGGTAGAAAATGGATATTTTATACAAAAGGAAGCCACGTAAGGACGGCATTTCCTTTCACCGCGTAAAGAATTTTTAATACGCTTTTTCCGGAAACTGAATTATATTCCATTTCTTGACACTTAAAATCCTTGTTTTAGATACAATATTTGAAAGAACCTCGTTCAAATATGTTGCATTATATTATTGCACGCATTGCATAAAAACTTACACACTCAGTAGAGCAACGATGTGGAGAGTAATAAATTTCTATCTTTAAAATAGACGTGGCATTTACAATTCGTTATCATAACAATTCTTACTTACATTGTTCGTCTGGGAAATATAAATAAATAAGCGAATAAAAATAAAGTTTAGTAAACATCTTTTGCTTTGCCAACAGTGTTTATTTTCGTAGCAAACGTCGTATATAAATAAACTCTTAATAAATATCACCTTTCACTTATTCGTTTTTTAATACTTTTAAAGTATTTATTCATTATTTAAATATGTACAAATCAATAAATCTCGCTTTAAAAATGATTATAATTTATCTCTATAAATCGTAGAACTACGAATTACTCTTCTTGGTAACTTGGTAACTTTTTTTACAATCAGCACCACTTTTGCTATATTACACGTGTTGTAATCATAAGAGTAATTTATATTTATAGTGCCCGGTATGGACTTGGATAATGACGGTGTATTGAGTACCACCTGTCGGATACTCCTATTACCGTAAGTACAGATGATTAAACAAGATGATGGTTCAATGTTAATAAAAGTACTTATACTCATTTGTTGAAATAAAATATTATTACCTTTCCCAAATGTTTCAGAAATAAGTACGTCAACTGTATATTTCAAGTTTCCAGGAAATGAAAACAGTAAGAATTTGATATCTAAATTTAAAAATCAGCATTATCACATAATTCTCATAAATATATAACATTCTTAGTTTTGTGAAGAAATAAAATTAGAGTAAAATGTTAACATCACGAAGTACATTATGAGGTATTTCACAAACTGTCGTAAATCATTTGTAATTTATGATTTTCTGTGACATAGTGAACCCGTACTGAAAATAATTTCTTGGAAAAATATCTATTTAAAAGTATAGTGACAGTTATATTCTTCATAGAAAATCATCGTTCCATAGTTATTATGGAATTCAAATATCTTTTCGACAAGGACAACTAAATGTTTATCGTGAAATCGTCTATCTTTAATAAACAGTAATTATTGGCGATATAGTCGGAAATTCTGTTTTCTTTTTTTACATTCTCCTTCTTTACTGTGCCGGTAGATAATTAGCAGCCAATAATACGGTTACAAGGTACCTCGACCGTGAATGTTCAATGACTTTTTTTTAATGCTTTCATACAGTAAAGTATAGTTGTGTGTAGTGCATAGAAACGCATATAAATCAATAACCTACTTTTGTTATACTTTCTGCGAATTATTTCTTGGTGCCATAAAATGTACAAAATAAACAAAGAAATGAAAAGTAAGAAATCCGCATCTTTTCATAAATAGTTTTAAATCTCGAATAGTAAAATCATCTGACGTATCCCGATTCCTATAATACCTATTCGTCGAATGTACTATCTTCCACTAATTGACCTTCAGTAACACAAAATTATGTTAAAGATTTTAATGTGCAACATTGACGTTTACGTTCTCATATGTATTTTCCCTAGACGTAGTTAATTTAAAATGGAAATAGGTCCAAAACCTATTTAAAATAGAAAATAGAAAATAGTATTTTACATTCAAGATACCTACTTCAAATGAATTCAATTGAAATAGTTACCCAGCTCTATGCATATATTTACACCTGTGCACATATTTGCATATATATATATTCTCATATTTTCGTTTTCAATTTTATGACTTTAGTGATTTTCGTGTTCCGCAAATGTCTCTTATAATTAAAAATATTCCCTGACTTCGAAAAAATTAAAAACCACAGGTCTACATCAATGTGGGATCTGTACGCATCAAGAATGGAGTCACAAAATCGTTCCACAGAGTTCCTTGAGTATCGCTTCAAGGGAGCTGGGTTGCTACCTTATTTTTCGGCCCATTATACCGTGTATCTACGCACACGCAGACAGGAGACGCGCGCGTGGAAGCGAAACGACGGTTACAAGTTGCCACCTGCAATTTTTCAACTTTCTAACTCCAATGTTCCTTGCAAAATATCGAGCCAACAACGTCGTTATTTGGACAAGATGAATCGATGCATACATCGGACATCGAGGAACGAGTCACATCTCAATCCATAAAAAGAAGGCAACGGCGACGTGAAGTGGAACTATATCTTCCGAATAGGGAACGCGAAATCGAGCGTCGGTGAGTAATGCGGTCTAGCGGCGACCAATCAGAGCGCTCGACGCACCACCGCGGACCAATCATCGCGCGTCAATAGCGTCCGCTGACGCGAGTATAAAACGCCGTTGCGAGGCGTCGCTCGCGCACTAGTCGCCCGACTCTCGAACGTCTCGTGTTAGCAGAAGTTACATTACCAGCTTCCGCCGACAACCGAGCTTCTTCATCTCCATTCCTTATTTTATAAAGAAGACACCAAAATGGTAAGAAACGCCCATATTTCTCCTGTGGAGAATGTGGTATAAGATTTGAGATTTAGACGGCAGGTGCGAGTACAAGAATCGTTGGAGCGGTTGAGCAGCGGCCATCTTGTAACGGTCAAACGCCGGCCGGCTCCACCCTTTCGTGAGCTGGCGATGAGTCACATTTATGAATATTTTGCCCATCACATCACGGCCGCGATTGTACCATTACCTTATCGGGTCATTGCTAGATTCTTGACCGTTTATGAATGCTTTATAAGAGCCCAAGGGCGATTTTTGTTGTCTAGAAGAGCGAGGTGGGCGTGGGCAAGATCGGCGGAGTACAGTAGTTTCTTTGTATTATATTTGGAACGATTTTAGTTTTATCCAATTTTCTTCTTAGTAACAGGATTGTGTTCGTTAGATACGTTATAGAGCTGTGTAACTGATCAAGAATCATCTTTTAAATGGGTTTGAATTGTTTTATGGCACTGAAAATTAATAGATTTTTTGTTATTTAAAACAAATCTGTACTCATAAATGTTGGAATGTTAAGATAAAAATAATAAAGACAAATGGAGTAGTCTGTTGAGGTTTATTCAATGTTCTATAAAAATATAAATTGTATTACTACAATTTTCATGAAACCTTTGCATCCGTTCATTGCAGGTCTAGTACAATTGCTATCAGCAGCATTGATAATTAAACATTATAAAATAATTTATACAAACGAATAATATTACTTTGTTTGCTTAACAGAGAAAGATTTGACATTTATTTAATGCATTAGTGGTATAGTGACTTATTTATTAAAGATACACGTTGAAAGCAAAAACGTTTCCTTATGATTCAGGGATATTTAGTTTTAGTTTATTTAGAGTATAATGAATTTGTTACATAAATGTGATACCATTATCATCCTTTTGTTACATGACGAGTCAAGTAATTGTTTCAAGTATCGATATCAAATAAATATGTAGGAGGAGTTATAAAGAAGGAAGATGAAAACAGTATTGTAGTTACCTGTGGTAGACAGTGTTTTATAAATTAAGAAATTCACGCATTCTGACAAAATTTACAAAACACTAAACTTATAGTAATTTTTGTATGCATTGTAACCAATTTACTAATGTGATTTTTTTGTGTAATAAGATTCATTGTATCCCATTAGTTTTATAATAAGCCAATGCAGAAGAAAGGAAGAAATAAGATGGCTCGCATCTCATCATAAAACAAAAAAATTTTAACGCCTTTTTAAAATCTTGGATTTTTTTTCAATAAAGCTGCATATTAATTTCAAATATAAGTCAAATGGTACAATATCATGTATTGGTGGTGAACAGTAACCCACGGCAATTGAAGATTATTTGCAAAAGTTAAAAACAATATGCTCATTTCGAACTTCAATTCTTTCAGCGTGAGTGCATCTCAATCCACGTTGGTCAGGCTGGAGTACAGATTGGAAATGCCTGCTGGGAGTTGTACTGCCTGGAACATGGCATACAGCCCGACGGACAGATGCCTTCCGACAAAACTGTTGGAGGTGGTGACGACAGCTTTAATACCTTTTTCAGCGAAACGGGTGCTGGAAAACATGTGCCTCGCGCAGTATTTATTGACTTGGAGCCAACAGTAGTTGGTACGTTTTCACCAACATTACAAAATTAGAATACAGTCTCTATACATGTGTATTTTTTATCATTTTATCCAATATTCTTCCCTTTTTAGATGAGGTTCGAACGGGAACATATCGCCAGTTGTTCCATCCGGAACAGCTGATCACTGGCAAGGAGGATGCTGCCAACAATTACGCCCGAGGTCACTACACGATCGGCAAAGAGATCGTGGACCTGGTGTTGGACAGAATCCGCAAACTCGCCGACCAGTGCACGGGACTTCAAGGCTTCCTCATCTTCCACTCGTTCGGTGGCGGCACCGGATCCGGCTTCACGTCCCTGCTGATGGAACGTCTCTCGGTGGACTACGGAAAGAAGTCGAAATTGGAATTCGCCATCTATCCCGCGCCCCAGGTCTCCACAGCCGTCGTCGAGCCCTACAACTCCATCCTGACCACCCACACTACTTTGGAACACTCCGACTGCGCCTTCATGGTCGACAACGAGGCCATCTACGACATTTGCAGACGCAACTTGGACATCGAGAGGCCCACCTACACGAACCTGAACAGACTCATCGGCCAGATCGTCTCGTCCATCACCGCCTCTCTGCGTTTCGACGGCGCCCTCAACGTCGACCTCACCGAGTTCCAGACCAACTTGGTGCCTTATCCCCGAATTCACTTCCCTCTGGTCACCTATGCCCCGGTCATCTCGGCAGAGAAGGCCTACCACGAGCAGCTCTCCGTCGCCGAGATCACCAATGCCTGCTTCGAGCCGGCCAACCAGATGGTCAAGTGCGACCCGAGACACGGAAAGTACATGGCCTGCTGTATGCTGTACCGAGGCGACGTCGTGCCCAAGGACGTCAACGCGGCCATCGCCACCATCAAGACCAAGCGCACCATCCAGTTCGTCGACTGGTGTCCCACTGGTTTCAAGGTTGGCATCAACTATCAGCCCCCGACCGTCGTTCCCGGAGGTGATCTGGCCAAGGTGCAGCGCGCGGTCTGCATGTTGTCCAACACCACCGCCATCGCCGAGGCCTGGGCTCGTCTCGACCACAAATTCGACCTCATGTACGCTAAGCGTGCCTTCGTTCATTGGTACGTCGGCGAGGGCATGGAGGAGGGAGAGTTCTCCGAGGCTCGGGAGGATCTTGCTGCCCTCGAGAAGGACTATGAAGAGGTCGGCATGGACTCGGCCGATGGAGAAGGAGAAGGCGCAGAAGAATACTAAGACGATTATTACACAAACGCATTTATTTATTACCACCGACACGTATCATTCCGCTGGATACTCTTTTACTTTGTCCACTTTAAAATGTCAAGTATTATCAAAGAAGAAATATGTTGTTCACCGTGATAGTTAAACAGTATATTGTGACCCTTAAAAGGAAGGTTTTTTTTTGCGACTTGTTATTCGTCGGTAATGTCCACGTCTTTGGCTTGGAAGATGCTGAACATTATGGACTAAAATTTATACATTGATTGTCGTCAGATCGAACGTTATCGTCCTTTAATTGAAAATAAAATTGACACGTTTATTTCTTAATATCGATCTATTGAGATTCACTCGTACCTTTGTCATTGATATGAATGTTAAAATTACGATCGACGCCTATCTACAGTCAGATTGAAAGTATTACATCGAATGACGTTGCAAGCTGCAAATTTGATCGTTTCTCGTTAAAGAAAGTCAAACATTTTCCATAATGATACCGAATACCGTAAAGTAATAAATTTATTTGAACAGATATATTTTCAGGTTTTACTATTTTGCCTTCAATCTGATATTTGCGTATTGATTTTCTTGTACTTATGACTAATATACAGATGTAAAAACGCATTACATCAAATCTAACTTGGAATTAAATAATTCTGATGGCTACTGCCATTTATAAATGCAAGATTACGTGCAGCATCTAGCAACGTAAGATGGCCGTTGTACATACTCCCCTCTCCTTGCATTTCGGGCTTCACTGGATGTATTTCTGCAAAATTGAATACAGCAGGACGCCCAGATTTGCTCGCCATTCTTTCTGACATGATGGTTACTTGCCTATTTTCAACAAACCGAAGCGTTTTACTGCATACAATTTTGCAACAATGCCGCGAGAGGAAAAGAAGCTCAAGTTGCAATCGGTGTTAAATTGCGCCAAGCAAGTAATTAATTCAACTTGTTCACAGAGGGCAGCACAGAAATACGATTGATAACTCGACCAGTGAGTTATTTCTCTATTCATCTCTGTTTTCATTGAGAGCGCCGTAAGTCGAAATATCCAGTTTGAAACAGTTTGAAATGTGGGGTACGTATTAAGAGATTTCGTTAAGAGTTTAAAAACAAAAGCGTGCTCCGAAATCAGAGGAACTACGATAACGTAGGTACAACCTTAGCACATTCAGCAAGATTCTACAACAATTGATCGTAATTGACACGCTGCTGTTAAAAGTGCCGACGGTAAATATGCGATTATTCAGACAGTCGTATGTTTTTCTTGAAAGCAAATTTCTCAACTGATCTTAACAATGATCCTTTCGGAGTAGTTGTATACATCTTAACCTTTTCAACTTTAAACAAATTACTGCGCGGAACGTATTGTTCCGTTTTTATTTTAAGAATTTCGAAATTGCATTATTAGCTTTTCTTGAAAGAACTGTGATAATGTTTGAACTGAAGTGTGATAATGTTTTGGTGCACGTTTTCTATAATACGTGTTAGTTATAGAAAACTTGTTAATAGTGTCCCAATGAAATAATTTTAATCATCTTCTTACGTACTATTTCGTAATCATTGTCGATACGAAGATTCTTTCATCGTTTATAATAAGAGGTATCTCACTGACATGGTCAAAATAATTCTCAATACCTTTGACAATATTATATTATATTTTTATATAACAACCCTTTCTGTTGGACATTCGCATATCAATTATAAATACTGCTAATAATATCTTTGCTTTCACGTTTTCATTTTCTTTTCATGTCTTTTGTAATAGATACAAAATGTGTAACACAAAAAATAAAATCATAGTATCTATGAGATCAATTTACATTTATATCATGTAAATCATTCAGTTTCATTGGCTTAGTTTACCCCGATTACTTATCACATATTCTAAGAGTGCAGTTCTATGAAACTTTCAGGGTAGACGATGGTGTACCAAGCTGCTACAATATGTTCTTTTGGACAATACACCGTCATTTAGACTGAGAGATTATAAAACAATGTGTAGTATACATACTGATGTAAAATAAGCCAATGGATAGTCAAACGAGTAATAACTGTATTACAGAAGTCACTTCGGGAACATACAGCAGATACTAATGGTATTTAACAATTTTCTAAAGAAGACAGACCAATTGAAAAAACTTCTTTAGAAAATATAATCTTTGTGAACTCATGCTGTAAAACGAAATGATATGAATATAATTAGATTCCTTTTACTTTCAGCACTTTGTGGCAACTATGGAAAGCAATTTAATTATATTTATATAGGAAATAAATAATGTACATACTAAATTTATCGTTTTGGACCACACGGTAAACAATTACATTAGCTGAACAAATATGTCTTCTTCATTTAAAAGACTTAACTGCAAAAATGCAAATGAAGGTATTATACAAATATTAGTTAAAGCTTCTCAAAAAGTTGAATCACTCTACGATTCATTACTAACTTTTAAGTAACCCAAAATGTGTTTTCAGGGCCACTCTTTCGTCCTAATATTTATTATGATGTATGGTTTGTGGATACAATCAGGAAACTTTTTAGTCATCTTAAGAAGTTCATTGCAGAATCACTTGCACTTAAAGAAGAATGTGCTGTTAAGGTAAACTTGCTCGCATGTATTTTAAGAATAAAAGAAGTAACGTAGGGGAATTATTAGCAAAATGCTTATTATAGCAATAATTAAATAAATGTGATGTATGTTGTCTTGTGGAAGACGAAAAACTTTCTGAAGTTTAAAACAGTGAACAGAGCATATTTACTGGCTTCGGAATGGACGTCATTTCTCAGAAGTAAGTTAATTTTGAATTTACGTCTATTAGTAAAATATTATTCACAACAAATACAGTTGAGGTATAAATCGATTAGTTCTCCTTTTATGTCATCAAGAAAACAACAAGAATAGTACGGTTTCTGTTTTTGTTAACTACAGTTTTATTTTCAGGTAAATTCTAATGACTCATACATTATTCCGTGCTAACAATATTATATGGAAAACTATATGTAATAAAGAATGAATGCACAATGCCTAATGAATGCTACTTGTTCTTACAGTAAAAATTATACTTCATTAAACTCAAAAGATAAATCTCTACAGAACAAGGTAGGACAAGCAGTAGGAAAACTTCCAACAACTCGCACGAAAGGAAACAATGCAGCAAATCAAGTAGCATATTTTCTTTTAAATATATTCTTTGAAATACATTCTGTTTTCTGGCTTGACAGCATTAACGTTTGAATTTATTTTAGGTAAAAAATGTAACTACAAATAATACGTATTCCAACCAAGAGCACGGGCTTGTTCAATTAACGATGCAGCGAGTACCGGGCAAGATAAATGACAAAGTAAGTTCCTCAAACATTATGCATGTAATAGAAGTCAATTTGTACCACGATCAAGGGCTCATTTTATTATCTTTACTTTTATTATCTTCACAAATATCTTTCATTGTGAAATACCCACTAAAAATTACATGCCTGATTTTCTCGCCTCTAAGGCTCAGTTAAAAATTGCCAATCGACGTTTATTGGGCCCTTAACAAAATACCAATTTCGTCCTGACAATTATTTTCGCTAGAAGAAGATTATTTGAATGAATGAATTGCTATTTCTGTAAAAGTAATGATTCGAAAAAAAGAATCTTAATCGCATGGTGAAGTTGAATTTTCATGGTGTCATTTATTTTTCTTTATTTCTCATTAAACTGTTATTTAGGTACGCAAAGCTATGGGTAGGCAGTTGATGAGAGCTTTGCTCGAAAATTATGCAAAAGCAGAAGACAATACAGCTATAAAGGAAAAAGACATGTACGAATTATTTTCTTGTATAGAATTCAACATTTGTAGTAATGCTACCAATATCCACCATTATAAGCAAAACATGCATAAATTGGCAAGTATTCTTTAAAGTTCTATTTTATTTTCATTCAATTCTGTCGAAGATTGTTATTTATATAAAATACATACCTATTAATTAAAACAGGTCAATGTCATTTTGACTGTTACAGTTTACATCTGTTCGAAACAGTACTAAAAATAACGTGATTCACGATAGTCTGCAAGAACTAATATCAGGTATAAACGAATCTAGTTGTATGACAGATAAATCTGTTGATAGAAATGAAAAATTTGGGCAATGTCCAAATAAACATAACGACTTAGATGTACAAAAGATCTGTACAAAATTTAGTAAGTTTAATGAGAATCAACGGAACTGTGATAAATATATTGTCAAAAATTCAGAATTGAACTTTTATCAGTATGGTTCTGATGTCGCATTGATAATACGTGATGTGGAAGATCAAGAATGTTCAGATGAAATGTCTGAAATGAGTATAAACTCCAAGGAAGGTACTGTTTTACAACATAAATCCCAAGACCCTATTATTATCGAGATTTCTTCTGGTGACGAAAATGAGGAATTAAGAAATAAAAAAAGTGAACACAACCAGTCGAATATAGAAAAGACTTTAAATAGAGATGTTAGTATGAATGTACAAGGAGGTGCATCTAATACATTAAATGAAACAATTGTGATTGAAGATGACGATGAAATAGAGGTTGTGTTAGACAATACGAGGAACCAAAAAATGGAAAAACCAAAAGGTTGTGATAGCGAAAAAATTGGTATTGAAAAAGGTCGAAAAAAATCATTGATTGTTGAACCTACTAGTGCAAAACCGAAGGTATGCGTATCGATTGACTTAGAAATTCAAGATAGAACTGCAACAATTATAAAGAAGTATATGAAACAATACTACCAGTCACGTGTCATCCCAGACAAGGCGATGCTTAACGCGATTATTCAACAACTGCATGTTTTTATACTTAAAAAAGAATTATACGGTAAAACAACTTTATTATATATTCTTTATTTTTTATATATTCTTATATTCTTTATGTTAGTTAAGAGCACATGTCAAATGTGGCTCGAAATTGTTTTCTTCTAGAACCTAGTGATCTGAATATTGCGTCAATGTGATACTGTTTTTTAACATTCTTTATGATATTGCAAATATATACCGACGATGTTCTCAAGTAATTGTAACACAACTTAAGATGAATTGAAATCAATTCATACATTACAAGTACCGCAAATGAGTGGAGTTATACCTTGCATCAGTGGTTCAGGGTAGAAAAATTATTCAAGAAGGAAAAAGATATTTATCCGTTTTTGGCTCTTATTGTTTTGGGACTCGGAATAAAAAAAAATACGATACGAACCTGGGCAGCGTCGGGCTTAGCTATATAGTAGCTATACAGTAGCTAGTATAACATTTTTTTTTAATCCTTTGCAGTCTAATATTTTTTATTACATTTACCATGTCTTCTGAAAAGAGGGGGCAGTCGAGTACTAAAGGTCAATATAATGATTTTAATACGTAATGTTGAAATCTTTTTGTTTTAACATATACCACGCTAGGCCATCCTAATATTGTATATAGTAATCATTCTATATTTTCAGATATGATTCTACTATTTTTCTTTTCCTAAACTGACTTCCACAACGTTTAAAAAGCAATGATTATAATCTTTTGCCATCTTAAGCAAGATATGAATATGTACAATATTTTAGCTAAATACATCCAGTTAATATTTTCTATTTACCTTATTTCAGATAAAGAAAGCATTAAAGGAGTTATCGACAATTTTGTAAAAAATCATAAATTCACAGTTAAAAGGAAAGCCGGTACATGGATTTCTAGTCGATAATCCTTACGGATAAATGAACAGTGAAGCCAAAATAAGATTATAGTTCTTATTTTTTTTGCATTTATGTACAATTAAAAACAAAACCCAAGTATCTCCCTAATTAGTAATCATCTGTGTGATACCTACAAAACTGAAGTTCCAGGTCTTTTTACAATTATTTATTTTCTTTTTATACCACAGACTTTAAAATGAGATTTTTCTATGAAGAAACAATTGAATACAAATCAGCACATATTTGTCTTTTTTTTCAGAATTACATTAATTAGTTTCTGCATATAGTATGTTAGGAATTTGAGAAATAAGCGTTCATTTATTGTTGAAAAGGAAAACCACCAGTGTTATTTTTTTTACTTGTTATAATATGCATCGAAAGGGTTAAAGCCGGTGAAACTTAATACTCTAGGATTTATTATAATTGTTACTATTGTTATCATTTCTTGCTTAATATACACTCAAACGTGATATGTTTGTTATAAGAATCTAATAGGATTTAGAATGTGTTCCATTATTTACCAGAGCTATGTAATTGAAGTTTGTAACAGAGATTTTCATGTTATATTAAACTTAAGAGTAATAAATAAACATGACATTTTTCTAACATAAATTTCTAGATCGATGTCAATAATTCTAGAAATGCGATAAATGGGAAGATTAGTTTATTTCATCATCTTCACATAGAAGTTACATTTTATGAAAAGTTATATCTTCACGAGTAGAGTAAGATGGCCGCCACCCTTTCTTCCCTTCGCGCCTTAGCTTCACCCGAGGAACGATTCCCTCCATTCCACTCCATTCTTCTATTTTTTATAGATCTATGGCAGAGATGAGTTGGAAGATTGCTCACGGGCAGGGTCGCGCGATCGCATCCTGTGCTGTCCTCTGTCTATGGCTCCCCGGGCGAGGAACGGCCAGTGGCGCCCTCGCATCCAGGAATCTCAATTCCACGGTTAATCGATCGTTCTCCTTCTCCACGACCGCATAGTTCGTGGCCGGAGCGAGAGTTTCGCGAGTGGCGCTGCGCGCGGTACAAACAGGAGTGACGCGTTCCACGAGATATCCTATCTTGGATCGATTCGCGTTTTTTTTACGTGCATCGAAGCAGAGAAACCAGCTATGGGACTTGTCGCGGATCCTGGCGAGTTCTGGTCGTAAAGAGCGGTGCACCTCGGAGGCAGAGACTCGCAGACGGTGCGTCGGCGACGCCGGGACTGGAACGGTTCAGGTGGGTGTGTTGGAAGACGGGGAGGGTGTACGCCGAACGTAGCGCTCGCCGAGACACCCGCACTCGAGTCGGCCGTTTCCTCGAGGGCAGCTCGCCCCTCCTTTCCGCGGCTGGAATTCGTCGACGTGCCGACAGGTGAGTGAAATCCCGCTAAGGCGTAACGCGCGATCCCGCGGCCGGCTCTACCCGGTCGGCCGCCATTAGTCGCCATTGCCTCTCGCCGAGAGAGTCGCGGTTGACAAGCCGTTGCGGCCAGGAGAAAGAGAGGGGTGTGTCACTGGTACGCGCGAGCGTGGCAGCTGTTCGACACTTTTTTATTGGCTTCGATTCTAAGTGCCCAATGCCGATGTCGCGAGGAAACCGCGGAATCGGCTCGCCGGGGTTTTGCAGGGACACGCGAGGAGCGAGACGAGAGAATCGGCCGATTCAAAAGGCCCAGGAAAAAGGCGCGTTTGGCCGTTGACGGTCCGCCATTTGTCAGCGGCGATACGTCCGCCCGACACGCTCCTGGCAACCGGTCGCGCGATCCTTCTACACTGAATTTCGCGCCACTTTTCACGTGCCGATTCGTCGCTTCCTCTTTACCGATCGATGTAATGGTAGCACGATGGTATGGAGAGGTTACGGTGATCGGCACTCAAGGCGGACGAAATTCCAGAGTATGCGCGGATCGTCACTTCCTTTTTATTCGGCATGTTTTATGTGGGATTAGGGATAAACCGATACGAATTAATATCAGTGTTTCTTCCTCGATATTTTTATTTTAATACCAAAAGTATTTGATGTCCTTGGTCTGGATACTCGGTACCGATAAAAGTAGTGGCATTGTATCGAGTGGAGTGGACATAAATATTTCTTTATTAATTTTTCTTTTCTATTCACTCAAATGGTAAACCAATTGACAATAAATACGGATTTTGATGAAGAAATTTTATTCATAATCGCATTCTCCTCCTGTACTACTTTGTATATACCTTCTATGGGAGATAAGTTTGTGCATTGTGTGTAGTTTGATTCGATACGAGTTGGTATTGATAAGTTTTTATTAGCGGACTTAAAAAATTTCCTATGCTTCAATGGTATCGGTTCGTCCCTATCTATGGTAGTCTATCGGTTGCTGTTACAGTGTCAAAAACTATATCTTGCACTTGTAGAGCTAGGATGCATCATGGTGTTTATATGGTACCTATTTCATTGGCCTGATTTCCTATGGAAATTGGATATGTTTTATCACAAAAAGTAGGCAATGCGTAGGGATTTTGTGCAGCGATTATTGAACAAATTAATTATTATCGATTTGAATAAGTTAAGAAGTATCGCAGGTTGCATTTGTATCAATTTTGTGACATTTGAATGTATCGACTATTATGTTGTATGCTATAATTGACCATGTAAATGTCATTAAACCTGTGCAATGCATGTAGTGGAATGATTACTTTGTGAGATATATAGAGCGGTGATGAAAATTTGTTTTATAATACTTGCCACAGTAATATGCGTTAATTCATTTTATGTAACTGAGATTTTCAACAGGAAAGAAATATAAGTGTTCGGGTTAATCAAAGCATGACCTTTCGGGATTACAGATTATTTAAATGATTTCTAATACTTGGGAATACAATTGGATAAGCTGAGAATAAATGATGTAAAGATTATATAAATAATACATGTATGTACATCCGAGTCTTACGTTCTATCGTTTCATATTCTTTATGTATTATTTCGTTCCATCTTGTATTTTCTAGATAGTACATCGTTATCTGTAAAAAGTTAAAATCCAACTTGTGATTAATTGTATTAAATGTGAGGTAGAAATTTAGTTTAGAATTTAACCGAAGATAAAGTTCAAGTCGACGTTACTACTGTTACGAGATGGACTAACGTCGTAAATAATTGGAATTTTTGTAATCGTGCAAAGAAGGCAAACTGTACTTTACGTTCATTTGCACTCTTTTGCAACTTAGTATAAATTACAGCAGGTTACTTTGACCCTGAATTTCTAGGTGAATTTTATTATAATTTATTTACTTGTGCTGGTCTTTTTTCATCATTAAAGGATTTCCTTATTAAGAATATCAGAGTGTCGTGAATATTTTTTAAAGATATTTCGTCGTGAAAGCAGAGCAAGGAGAGGCGAATAAAATGTCTGGGAACCGTTTTCCAAATAATCGACGATCAAATCGATCGGTCACGTCACGGTTTTACTAAAGAAGGCAATCCAGTCGAGCGTATCTTTTCTTTCATTTCAGTGTTCTCAAGTATACCGTTTCGAGGTTTTCAGTTCTCAGGATCGTCTGCGTTATCGAGCTGTTTCTGTTTTCACGTATAGTTCAGGTGTGTGCGCACGCGTGTTGGAAGTTGGGGTCATTCACCATTAACTGGCTTTTAATCATTATTTCTGGTTTAAAACATCTTACGAAACCTTACACCGATCATTACTTAATTCAATTCAAGATCAAAAATGGACTTTCCATTGTTATCAGATAAACGTACAAATTCTGTTTTCACGTATATGTCAGTTATGCAAAATTGCAGCAGGGTCTAAATTTAAACATTTGGTTTAACGAGTTGCAGAAATCATATATATATATATATATATGCATACAATGTAATAAATAACCTACCCTAAGTAAACTAAGCTAAACGGTGATAAATTATAATATTCAACGTGAAATTTATTACACTGCCCGATATTGTTGTTTACTTTGCCCCTGCTTATATATATTATAAATAAATTTCACGTTGAATATTATAATTTATCACCGTTTAGCTTAGTTTACTTAGGATAGGTTATTTATTACATTGCATGCATCGCTTTGTTCATAACATTTATACTATTGATTTATATAATTTGTTTTATTTGTAACTTGAAATTCTTTACTTCATTGTGACCCTTTTTAAGTGACTCTAAATATGTAGAAGAGAATAGTCTTAAGTTGAATTCTCGCTAACATGGAGTTATGACTTTTTGTTTGATTTTAACTTTGTCCCGTAAGGGTCTTAAAAGTGGGCTGGTATTTTTTACTTCTCCGGTGTAGATACATAGAAGTCATAATTTTGTGTTTAATAAAAGTATATGGTTTAATTTGCTCTTGTCTTGCCACCTTTGACCTCCAGATAGGCCCGGTTAGTTGCTCAAAGAATCGAGCTCGCACTTTCACGGAGGTTTATTTATAAACTTAGTTGCTCTGGAATAGTTTCATTTTCGTGACGCGCCGGGACGGAAATATTTAAAGCGACGATTCCAGCGTGCTCGTCGGCGGCTAAAAAGACTGCTAGAAAAACCGTGGAACGAATATTTCAGTCAATCGACGTGAACCAAGTTTTAAGAAAGTAGTTAAATTTGTTCATCGATTAGTTACGCCAATTATTTGTAGATTCAATCGCAGCAACGGTATCCGATATGTTATCCTGTATTAATGTCATTGTTTCTTTCAAAAAGACCCTAAGCAGGCAATCGTTTTTCTTTACAAAAGATATATTTGGTCGTACTTCGATGTCACTTATAGTTTAATGTTGTAATGAGTTGAATTATAATATCAATGGTCCTTTTACTTTCCCTTGTTAATGATATTTTTAAACGAATACATATCTCGATCGGGCGAAGTGAACGTTCAATTTTTAATTGTAACAATATATTTGATGTACTCTTTAATTTAAAAAAAAATTGTTTCATCTTCAAAGTGAAATGGTAAAATTTTCATGTTTCTTACATGAACGTTTTCGATGCCTTTGTAAACGTGCTTTAAAATTAAATGTGCGTACACGAAAATCCAGATTAAGTCAGAAAAATCGATTGCTTCGATCGATCGAACTGTTGTAAAATAAAAATGGTGTATATCTGATAATCACATCGTTTAGCCCAACGAAAGGAGACTAACAATATCTCGGTAGTTACATGCATTTTTAAAACGAGAATTGGAATCTCTATTTCTTAACATTATCCTGATCTATGTCGGGTGATTGTGAAAGTAGTCTGAATCATTTTTTTTTTGTCGTTACGAAGCTAACTTTGTATTACTATAATTTAAATGGATACAATATAAGATATGAGATAAATGCATATATTTTTATATTTTTTTTACTTAAATCACTTTTACAATCCCAGGCACATGTAGGTTAGTCTCTGATTTTCACGATTTTTATTTTTTAAACATTGCAATTCTTTTGCGAGAACCTTTTTGTAGATGCCAAGAAGAACGAATGCGGCGAGTAAGAATTAATACATTCCGTTATTACGTGAATATTATATTAAATTTCGT